TAATCAATTTATGCATCAGTTCGTTGCTTTTGACATGATTTGTCAGATCAACGGTTAAATCGTTCGTAATTGGGTACGTCCGATTGCAACATCCGATCCGACTGACAAATTTTCTATGGTTTATGTAATCAGAAATATAGCCGGTGAGTGAGTGATTGACCCAAAACGACTTCACCAGAGCCTCGTTAGCCGTCTACTTCAGGACTCATGTTAGGCCTACATAGCTCCCATAGCGGCTTTTGAGAATTTACATCACCGTACTTCGCCTTGCCATGTTTTTTCACACGTTGGACGCTGTCTGGCCCTCACGACGCACGGGAGGTTAGACTTTGAGAACGTTTACAGAACCCAGACTGGTGTGTGTCTGATCATTGACACCGAAGTTGTGAAAGTGGTACTAGAACATCAGCATCTTAGCGAAAAATAAAGTTAAGAAACGCTGTACTTTGGCATTAGCAGCGAGAAACAAATCGTTCAATCTCTGGAAGGACAAAGATTTTGACAATAGCACAAAACTGCAGATATACAGGACTTGCATTCTGAATATCTTGCGTATGGCCTGTGTGACGGCAGCAGTTAGCAACGCCATCGACAGAAAACTGGAAACTACGAAAATAAAGATTACAAGATCAGTATTAGAAGTGACATAGTATGACCTGGTGTCAAATGTTGTTGTAAGAGAGATTCGAATATCAAACAAAACTGACACACTAGCTATAAGACGTTTAAAAAGGTTGGGCCATTGCCAACTAACGATAACCGCGTTGCGAAATGAATACTGAACGCAAGGCCTGATGACAGGCGGCCATCAGGAAGACCTCCAGCAAAATGTTATCAGTGAAAGAGATGAATGCTGCTTACCAGACGCGGTGGCTACTCTAGATAAAATTGCGCTTCAAGGGATCCTTGATGTGTGACTATTGCATGAATTTCAGCCATGAATGGCGTATCAGCATTCTTAGAGTAAAGAATCTTATCTTGGGCTGTCGTGCTTTTCAGTCTTTTGAACGACATTATTGAAAGTTAAATAAGGTTCCAATAAAGGGATTCTTTCTCTCGACTGTCCCCACTTTTCGTTTCATATCATTCACGGCAATTTCCGTTTATCGTTACAGCGTTATTTGAACCGTAATGTGCGTATAGCTCTCTAGAATTTGACACGCCTACTTTTTGGGGTACAAACTTTGATACTTGAGTAAATCAGGTAAGTGTGTGATAAATAGTTCTTCATGGATAAACAGCAGGTTCTTTCTGTATTGCAGATAACTGATACATTGTATCCAAAAATGAAAAATCTGGACGAAGTTCTTGGTGGACCCGAGGCATGGAGTAACGCCCAGGTGACAGACAGTATGCCGATCGAATTAAGCCGTTTTAATGCTTATATCACTGCACAGTTTTTAGCGACCTGTCCCAAGTGCTCCCATGGCCGAGCATTTTTTATGCAGCTGCAGACACGGAGCGCCGATGAGCCGATGACGACGTTTTATCGTTGCGCTAATAACGATTGTGGACACAGATGGAAGGAATAGCTGGTAATTATTAAGTTAATGAATGACACAGTGATTGAATTTTGCCGTTGTCTTTTACCGGATTGTTATTATTCCCTGTCGTTCTCCTTTAGCAGTTATACAAAGTGCTGCACTTTAAAATCCTAATCTTTACAAGATTATGCAGTGACGATGCAGCGGCAGACGATCGTTCGTGTTCGTCCGTGCAGTTGCATCCAGTCAGTCAACCTTGGGAATGAATTTCCAGCAACATAGCAATCAGTATCTTCTACTCCTGCTTCTGTTCGAAGGTTATCAGTTTGGCCAGTGAATCAAAATTTAATTTTTCTTCGTGCAGTGCAAGAAAATTGATTCGTGTTTAGTATGATAGACGATTCACTTTTACGTAGGTGCTGCAAAGAATTCAAAGTTCTTTGCTTACCATACGGAATAAAATTAGACTCATTTACTTGCTGGATCTAGTATCGCTGTATAACTACAACAGACAATGATGGAAGATTACTGTTTGCGATGAGTTGACCCGTTTACCTCTATAAAATTGAAAGGAAACGCGCGAAATCTTATCGAAACGATCTCGATAAACACTAGTCAAGTCTGACGGTCACCGCAGGTTAGCATTTTTTACGCATAAACAAATCGGCTAGTAATTTTGTCTTTCGACACAGGTAGAAAACAGTAGAGAACATATTTACCAAATCGGGACACAAGTGGATGACTACAGGTATTCAAGATTACAAGATTCCACAGCATTACAATAAAAATAGGAAATACATAGTTGTGTGAATGATTCATGGTTCGAGGCACCAAATACTGCAGATAGTAAGCAGTTTGATGCCAACGTGTTTCACCGCACAGACCGCAGCATCATCAA